GTGCCTGGCCAACAAAATCTATCCCGAGTGCTATTGAGAGCGAAGTAATGCAAAGTATTGGCCCTATCATTTCATTTAATCAAACTGTTGTTTCAGCTTAAACAAGGACACATCCTTTCACTGCGACGTGTGCAATGTTTGCATGGGGAAGCAAATGGAGGGAAAACACAAATGTCGGCTGAACTCTGGACAACTTGACAATTGTTGCATCTGCTTTGAGGTAATTATATATAGATCATATTCCACACTTTTAAATTGCTCCAAACACAGGTGGGAATTTATGCTTTGTAGCAAAGATCTTAAAAGACATCTGAAGCCCTAAGAGACAGCTCTTAATAATGAAAATGTCTGGGTACGAGTGTTACTGACACGTTAAATTCTGCATGCTATTTCAGGAGGTGTTCACCGGTGGCCAAATTCTGCCATGCTCACATAAGGTTCATAAAGAGTGTGGCTCTAGAATGATGTTTTATGCAGAGATACAGAATCGCGTGTAAGTATGTTTAGATAGTCCAAAGTAACTGTTCATAACGTTTTAAAGGATATTAATAAACGAGAGTATAACTTAAGTAATGGTGGTGGTGCTGTCATCATGAAACCGTTTCCGCAGTTGTCAGTTGATGTATCAAGACTTCTCTTACTTGATGCAATGAACACGCCATTATGCTGTAGTGATGTAAACATAAAACCCGGATATTCTGTGGGTGTAACAAGTAGTGCTGTGTTACGCAATGAGGTACAGTATCAAACGGCAGTTTGTTCGTCAATGTCGAAAGAAATCCAGGATAACTTTGGTTTGGCAGGAAACTCGAGCCAGCTTCTCAACAAATCAAGTACAAAACTAAAAGCAATTTCGGCTTGGTCATTCACGTTTTCGTGCACTTTCCTGACTTTGAATTCTTATTGGTTATGAGTAATTCTAAACGAGTGTCACAAGTAACCGGGATTACGTTGGCTTTCCATCACTTCGCTCTGTGATTGGTCCAGAAAACTACATCTCGACCAATCAGATACAAAACTAACCCTATCTGCAACATAATCACTCCTTTTCTTCCCGCCTTTAGAGTGTACTTTGAGAGCTCTGTATCTTACAGTTTCTTTTTATTTTGCTTTTAGTCTTACTTGCCCGATGTGCCGCCACCCTGTGGAAGGTCACGAAACAGAAGATCCAAGCCAATATGGTTAATACAAGCTAGAATTCTCCACTACAAAGTGCTAAACACAATCAAGAGGCCACGTTAGAAATATAATTTAACGTGGTTGGAAACAAAAAAAAAGTTATAAAAGCGAAATTATTTCAAACTAATTATTATGGGTCTTTTTAATACGCTACTTGAAATGTATGGAAACATTCTCAGTTTTTTAGGTCTCTGTTTCTTTCACTTAAATCCAGTTTAACGACACGTTTTTATGGTGTGGATGGGATATACCTACTAACCTGCCCAAAGAGGTTGAAGAACCGCTTCTTTTGTAACAAATAGGTTTGCTATAATGTTCTCCAGACGCGAAGGTCAAACTCACATAGATACCGGCATGGATTGGGGCTAGGCGGGGGATTAGTTTCTACAGAGGGCTTGATTTAAATTTTTTTCAAGTGGTTTGTTTTGTTCATGAACAAACAATATTACGTTATTTTAAGATAGTAGTAGTATCCTACAAAATAAATATTGAAAAATACGTTCGTCCTGATTATTGCTCTGACTGCAATAGGTTATTTCTAAACTCAACCCTTTAACCCTTTAGAGTGACTAGCATCTAATTTCTCCTTACAAGATCACCCCTGAATCATGCAGTAAGGTCTTGAGAATAAAGAAAATTATCAGCAGCAAAAGCTGTTGATTGTTACACAAATTCTCCTTGTCGGTACCTTAAAAAATGTTTGGTGAACAGTATGGAAAAGACCTTTAGTGATGTTAGGGTGTAAAGGGTTCATTTTTAGCTACAGGTCAATGTTATTATAATTTCAAATTAAAAGATAAAAATGCCTAAAAAGTGATCTTTTATTGTTCTCAGTATTTTTTTATGTCAAAGTGTCCTCAGATCTCAAGTATTCCCCAAAACCAGCTTGATGGAAACACACGATATCTGTAGGATTTGCTTGGCGACAATCTTGTGTTGAACGAGACGTGGCACCAAAAACCTAAAATAAAAAAAATTAGGAAGTGCAGCTATTTCAAGAGATTTCCCCATTTTTTGAGAGGGAAGTACTCAATAAACAAAATTTTTAATGTATTTGAAGTTTTGATTAAATCGTTTTTGCCACACTGAATGCGTTAATCCTAAGACAAGTGCCACACCATATTAGCCATGTAGAAGGTCCAGCACACTTGTATCCCTGGACAAAAATGATGGAAACTTTAAATTTTTGCATTGTGGTACTCCTTAGGGTCTTTGTACAAGGCAAAGAATAGCACTGGTAGCTTTCAGACCTTTTATGGAGAAATTGTTCCACAAAAATGCTCTACCACATAAATGCCCTATCATGTTTGATGCACCTCTGGTGGGTGAAATTAGAAGCCACACCCATACAATTGAATTTAAAGGTTTTTATTACAAATTCCAACAATCACTGACCTCATTTCTTTATGAATTCCATAATTCCCTTCCCCCACCACATGGGCTTATATTCAAGGGAAGACCATCTAATCACAAACTATCATGGGTAAGGATTTCCATATTTCTTATCCTCACATCACAAGTCACTAACCCTTTACACCCTAACATCATTATGAATACTCTCCATACTGTTCTTTTTATATTTTCTAGGTTCTAACAAGAAGAATTTGTAAAACCATCAAGAGCTGTCTTAGTTGCTGATCATTTCCTTTATTCTTGTGAATTGATTCAAGGAATAAATTGTGAAGAGGAATTAGAACCTTCTCACTCTTTAAAGGGTTAACTGTGCTATATTTTCACACGTTTGGAGGAATTCCATCTCATTTTGATACATGCATACAAAATCTCCCTTCAAGATGACAGTTTTTTTTCACTCACCAGTGGAAGGTCATTCATAGAGTATACAATAACTCCTTGGTACTGTGGTGTGTTTTCTGTTATCCTCCCAAGGCCAGACTTCAAAAGGTGATTCCCATAGAGAAAAGACTGCTCTCCTGCTGGCTTCATCCAGATTTTAGACTGGAAATGAAGAACAAACATGAAACATTATAGCTCATAACATTCCAATGTATAAAAACTATATTCATTATAAATACAGGGGAACCCAGTCTTATGGCCACCTTGGTAATACCGTCACCTCATTGTTATGGCCTCTATTTTATGGCTGAGAAAATGGCCATAGATTTTTGTATAAAAAAACACATGTTAATGTGGTCAGCTATTGCCACATTTACAGTCCCAAACAGTACAATCCTTTATAATTTCATCCCACTTAATTAAGAAAACAAAAATGCTTGAAACATATCAATTTCATTGATCTTTGTCACTTACTGATCAAATGGCCAATTTATTTTACAAAGTAAATAACACTCCTCCCTGTTTTCATTACAAACATGATGAAAGGAAATAAATTTTGACCCTTGTGATTAGAAGTTTGATCCTGCCCCAGTAAAACACCCATAAATGGAAATGTATTCTTGAAAAAAGTGATTCCAAGGAGTGTGAGACAAATTTGAAGTACAGAAAAGTGAAATGTAAGCTAACCATATTAAAAATTGGGCAAAGTTGACTAGTATGTAAGCAGTACCTCTGGCCAGTAGTATTTCCTAAGCCTCCAAAGATCTTACCAGTTAGAGGTTCAAGATCAAATAAAAAAAATGAAATGAATTCTTAGAATAAAATGATTCCAAGGTGTAAGACTACAATTTGGAGCGTAGGAAAGGAAATTGTGGAGCAAACGGTTGCAATAATTGGGCAAAGTTGACCAAATATGCAAGCTTTATCTCTAGCTGATAGCCCCTGGCTAGGGGTACAAGACCAAATAAAAAATAAATGGAAACATATTCATGAAAAAAGTGACTCAAAGGAGTGTAAGGCTAATTTGGAGTGTAGAAAAAGTTAAACGTGAAGCAAACCGTACAAAGGTGTAGTAACTATTTGGCAAAGTTGACTTAATATGCAAGCTATACCCCTAGCCAATAGTATTTTTTAAAGCCTCCTGAGATCCTACTGGCTAGAGGTACAAGACAATAGAAATTTCATCTTGGGGATCTTTCTAATCAGTAGCACTATGACAAGGGCATTATAGTGGCAATACCATTCATAAGTTTTGTTTACCCTTGGAAGCACAGGTCTTAGCAGCTACAGTGTTAAGCTAAAACTCTGCTGAACAAGAAACTTAAGATCGACAAGGGTGAAGGAAGCAGCCATACAAAATTTAGCAAAATTTCCTTGATTTAGACTCAACAATGTATTCTTCACATGTAAAGCATGTTATAATGTTCATGTCTGGTTCAATCACATCACTTGACTATAGGTAAATCGTAAATAGAGTAACCAGAATAGTCCACCATATTGAAATAGCCGACAAATTCCAGCTTTCCAAGCAGAGGGGCATTTTGTTGTGCATGTTCTGTAAGTTTTAGTTTGATGCAAGAAACTGCTGGTATGTGCCTGCATCAGTTTTCTGCTCAAGAATTGCAAAAGAAAAGAAGCAGGAAAATATGTTAGAACACAACAATGGATCGAGTATTTGAGACAACTTTTCTTGTCATTTTTCCTCCTGTAACTTAGATTCATGCGGCAAAAATTTAAACATTAAAAATTGTTGTATGGTGTGTGGAAGGAAGTTATTTTCAGAAGCAAAAGATTGTACAAACAACTTCAAGTCTTGTCTTGTAATTGTTTGGGCGT